TATAGAGGAGCACATTTATTTTTATTATTTTGCATAAAAGAGGGAGGATTTGAGGGATATAATTGTAACGTGACATTTTTGGGTGGGTTGTCTGCAGTGGGGGTTGTATCTGGAACATCTGGTTTTCAAAATGTGAGGCTCTACTGATTGAGTTAAAAGCCCAAGGCTGTAGGAGGCTCATCCCTAGAACAGGGTGGGAAATAGGTTTCCTCTCATGGGAAAATTCAATATTTTTTCCCATTTTGAATTGGGACAAAAAGCCAAAATCTCAAAAAAAATTGCCATCTGATCATCCAAAAAAAACCCAAACCCTGGTTTGAGTCCATCAAAACATTTTGTTTTAATCATTTTGAAACATTTCATTTCAGTTTCAACCCTTTTTTGTTTAAAAAAAATATGTTTACATAAATTAATTTTAATTTTGTAATGAAAAGCCTTTTCTTACAGTCAAAAAAGGAACATTTCATTGTGGAAATGCCAGTCAGGCTGTCTTGATGATTTTGAAACTTTTTTTGAAAAAAATTTCGAAACAGGAAATTCTTTGACAGCAATCCTTTCCCATGAAAAGCTTCACTTTCAATGAATGGTCAAAATTATCACCCTTTATATGTGGAGCAGACACCACTCGAGGGGGACAGAGCACCACCTTGAGAAGGTGCATGTTACACACTAAATATAAAGGTCAGGTGACTTTGCCTGCCTTATTTGTCAAAGTACACTTGAACTTGCTCCAGCCAGAGTTTCTCTCTATGCTCCTTCAGTCCCTTCACACAGTCTTGCCACTGTTGGTGCGAGAGAGCCTTCTCCCCTGCAGCCCCTGCCATCTGGAACAGTTTCCTTGTCTGCTTCCTCGAGTCTCCTCCTGTTGAATCTCATATTTATAGACCCTCATTGTGTTCTCTCTCCCTGTGTTCAACTCTAAAGCTAGCAAGGAGTAAGCAGTCTAGAGGAGAGGAATCTCTCTACCCAACAAAGTTGTGTTTACAAGCCCTTGCTCGGCATCAGCTGTTCTTACTCTGGAGTAGAAGTGAGAGATGCTTGCACTGCTTTTGCCCTGGCTGTTTTTGTTCTGTAGATAAGCAGAGGACATCAGTCTTCAGAGTTCACAATCCTGCTTTTCCAAGCAGGTTTTGGATCTTGATTTTCTTAGACTATAAGATCTTTGGAGCAGACTCCATCTTTTTGTTATGTGTTCATATAGTGCCTACCACAATGGAGCCCTGATTGCCTGATTGAGGCTCCTAAGTGCTACAGCAGTACAAATAAATAATAATAATTGGCTGATGTTCTTTGCACGTGTAATCACAGAATCTGCTATTGACAGGGGAAAGGATCAATTCTGTTCCATCTGTAGTTCCTGTGATTCTTCTTAGAAGCTGCTTATCATGTATTTCTTGTACACGGTAGGTTGCAGGGCTGCTACTAGCAGGTCAGGCTTCTGTACCCAATATGGACTGGCCACAGAGCTTTCCTAGGGTTGCCAGGCATCCAGTTTTTGACCGGAGCGCCCGGTCGAAAAGGGACCCTGGCGGCTCCAGTCAGCATCGCTGACCGGGCCATTAAAAGTCTGGTCGGTGGCGCCGTGGGGGCCTGGAGCTAAGGCAGGCTTCCTGCCTGCCCTAGCTCCGTGTGGCTCTTGGAAGCGTCCGCCAGGTCCCTGCAGCCCCTAGACGCATGAGCAGCCAGGGAGGCTCCACGTGCTGCCCCCGCCCCGAGGCCAGCTCCGCAGCTCCCGTTAGCCAAGAACTGCAACCAATAGGAGCTGTGGGGGGGGTGCCTGCGGGTACAAGGGCAGCTCATGAAGCCTCCCTGGCCTCCGATGCGTCTAGGGGTGGCAGGAACCTGGCAGCCATTTCCTGAGAGCCGCGGTAAGTACTGCCTGGACCCTGCACCCCGAACCCTCTCCAGCACCCGAATCCCCTGCCCCAGCCCAGAGTCCCCTCCCACACCCAAACTCCCTCCTGGAGCCCACACCTCCCAATACCCCAACACCCTGCCCCACCCCCTCCTGTACCCCAAACCCCTCATCCCTCCTGCACCCCAATCCCTCATCCCCACCCCAGAGCCTGCACCCCCAGATGGAATCCTCACCCCTCCACACACCCCAACCCACTACCCCAGCCCGGAGCCCTCTCCCAAACCCCTTATTTCTGGCCCCGCCTAGAGCCTGCTATCCCAGCCCAGACCTCATACCCCCCCCACCCTGGCCCGGAGCCCTCTCCTGCACCCCAAACCCCTCATCCCCAGCCCCACCCCAGAGCTCTCACCCTCCTCCCGCACCCCAAATCCTGCCCCAGCCCAGTGAGAGTGAGGGTGGGGAAGAGTGAGCGACAGAGGGAGGGGGGATGGAGAGAGTGGGCCTCAGAGAAGGGGCGGGGCAGGGGAGAGGCCTCGGTGAAGGGGTGTTTGGTTTTGTGTGATTAGAAAGTTGGCAACCCTAAGCTTTCCTAGAGAGAGAGACCAGATCTGTTCACTATAAGCTCCTTTAATGTTCTGCCATGTAAGTCTGAAATTAGCTTAAATAAGGTATGTTACACACAGTACCACCTAGTGGCTTAACAGTATAATACAGTTTAGCATTCCCTTACATCTCCCCCTTTAAGTTCTACATTCCTTCCATTTACCAAATTTACACTGTCTTTGAAATTCAGAACGGATCAGTCTGTTAAGTGTCTCTGAATCACACTGATTTTCTAATTATGTGACTCTGGCTGTCCATTAGTTGCAATGACTGCCTGTAGTTGGTCTGGAATCCTTGAGTCATCATCTTGTTCTGCATCTGCCATCTATAGAGTTTACTCCGTTGATTGTTTTTTCTGAAGAACAAATTATAGATGTCAGTGGTTCCTGTTGAACTATTCACTGTTGGTCTCAATCACATATGACTGGGGCACTGAATTCTTTTCTTTATGACAGGTGGAGCTGTTCATCCTTTTTCTAAATCCAATTGATACGAACATGGACACCGAGTTCTAGACCTGGCAGTTCTCTGACTGCGTGTCTGTCATCTGATGTAAAATTGTCACTTTTAAAGTCAATAGTCTTTACTGGACTATTCAGTTTCACTCTCCAGGAAGGCTCTATGTTATCACAAGGGATAGATCCCAGAAACAATGGCTTTTGATTGTAATATGAGTCAATTCCCTGACTGCTTTGATGCAGCAAACAACTGCAAAATGTCCATAATTTTGTGCATTTATCACAGCTTATGCCTTTGGCTGGACATGCATCATCTGTTGAGATATGAATTTTTCCACATCTTGTGCATTTAGGCTGTCAGACTTTGGTGTTTGGCTGGAATTTGTGCCTCTTACCTGGCAGTTCTCTCTTTGCCTCAGCGGTCTTATGGTAAAGCCTTGTAGCACTCATGCTGCATCTGACAGGTTTCAGAGTAGCAGCCATGTTAGTCTGTATCTGCAAAAAGAACAGGAGTACTTGTGGCACCTTAGAGACTAACAAATTTAGTTGCTGCATCTGTTAACTGCTTCTAAGCTAGTTTCTTGTTTTTCAAGTTTGGCAAGTTGCTCTTGGTTTTGCTGTCTCACTGCTCAGACTGCTTTGCTATCTGGATAGCTGTGCTTAGGGTTAAATCTCTTCAGTTGTAGCTGCTGTGAAAGGTTTTTATCTGTTAATAACCATCCTGTCTCTGAGGGCAGGTCTACAATACGGGGCTAAGTTGACCTAAGTTACGCATTGACGTTGCGTATCTAAGTTGACGTATCTTAGGTCGATTTACCTGGCCTAAGTGTCTACACCACGCTGGGTCAACTGAAGAAACTCTCCCGTCAACTTGCCTTATGCTTCTCCTTCCAGTGAAGTACCAGAGTCGAGGAGAGAGCGATCGGCGGTCGATTTAGTGGGTCTTCACTAGACCCACTAAATCGACCCCCAGTGGATCAATCGCCACCCATCGATTCCCTGGTAAGCCCTGACATTTTCATGTTTTGCAGTTCCAAACTTGCAGTTTTCAGCCAATGCATGCAGAGTTCTTATAAAACATTCAACGCTTTCCCCTGGTCCTTGAATTCTCTGGTGAAAACATGTTCTTTTATAAACCGCATTTTTCTGGGGTATAAAGTATGCATCAAATATAGCCAGAACCCTTTCTTAGGCTAGGTCTACACTGGGGGGGCGGGGGGGAGGGAAAGGGTCGACTTAAGATACGCAATTTCAGCTACGCGAATAGCGTAGCTGAAGTCGGCGTATCTTAGGTCGATTTACCTGGCCGTGAGGACGACGGCGAGTCAACTGCTGCCGCTCCCCTGTCGACTCTGCTTCCGCCTCTCGCTGCGGTGGAATTCTGGAGTTGATGGCAGAGCGATCGGGGATCGATTTTATCGCGTCTACACTAGACACGATAAATCGATCCCCAATAGATTGATCACTACCCGCCAATCCGGCGGGTAGTGTAGACATACCCATAGTCTTCTTTGTGACTGTTTTTAGTAAAGTCAAAGGATATAAAGATATGCTCTGCCTGCTTTCCCATAGCATAAATTAAAGAGCATACTTGTAGTGTTCGGTTTGGTAGCAATTCCAAACCTTGCAAAATACTGCTTCAGTCTGTTCATTGTGAAGGTTTCTCAAAGCTGAAATTCTCTGGGGCATTGAAGAGAGGCATGTAGATGAGAGCCTGCAACCTTTGGTGCTTTGTTCCTTCTGGCTGCAACTTTTGTTGCTGCTTCCCTTCTGTTTCTATTCTCCTCTGTCACTAGTTTACTCCTGACACCGTGCCATGCACACCTTGTACACAGTAGGTTTCAGGGCTGCTACTGTCTGCACCAGATATGGTCTAGCCACAGAGCTTTCCTTTCCCAGAAAGACACATGCCAAATGTGTTCACTATAAGCTCTAATGTACTGACATTAGCTTAAATAAGGTATGTTACACATATCACCACCTACTGGCTGAACAGTGTAATACGGTTTAGGATTCCATTGCACTGCTTTCACCCATGCAATTTGGTTCCAGGCTTTTATCTTCTTTTCTTTTCATTGCAGCATCTCAGGCTATGGAGCAGCTGGTGGGAAAGGAGGGAAGAATACTATGGTGAGGTCCCATGGTGTGTCCATATTGGGGATTTTTGACCTCCAAAAGGATGATGCCTTATACATCTTGGTGGGCCAGCAAGGAGAAGATGCCTGCCCTAGTGTAAGTGATTGCCAATTCTGTCTCATGTTGAACCTTTTCCAGCACTGGGATCTTTAATATTACAACGGTCTGAATTGGTTTGAGTAGTCCAAACTACAGATACAAGATTTCTGGTAGTGACTTAATGGTATGTCTATACTACAGTTAAACACCTGCAGCTGGCCCATGTCAGGTACATGGGGCTCGGGCTATGGGGTCTGAGCCCTGGGTCTCTGCGAGGGGAGAGGGTCTCAGAGCCCAGGGTCCAGCCCAAGCTGAACATCCTCATTACAATTGTACAGTCTTGCAGCCTGAGTCCAAGTCAGCTGACCTGGGCCAGCTGCGGGTGTTTCTTTGTTGTGTAGACATACCCAAAAGGACCTGATGTTGCAGTCCTACCATGGAACAGTGGGGGCCCCAGTGGATCTGCGTGCATCTCAGGGAATCTTTGGTTTTAAGTACCAAATCCCTTTCTCATTCTACAGAAGTGATGGGACAGCCTCACCCACCCTTTCTCCCACAGACTAATCTGGGGGAAGCTCTGCAAGTTTGGCCTCATGGGGTTTTCCCTTCCTTCCAACCTCAGCCCCATCTTTGATATGGACCCCTCAAATCCTACATGGATCACCACACAAACCCCATTTGCTCAGGCTTTGTTTGTGCATGGGGGAGGCTGAAGGCATTACTATTAAATTAATCCAACTTCCACTGTTACTAAGAATCATTACAAATTGCTTACAAGATTATCACCTTCCATTACTACTGCTGGAAGCCCTGATGGAGGAAAATTAAGCATTATCCTGTGAAATTTCACCACAGCTTTTGATCTGGGCGTTTAGTATTCTGCAGGATTGTTGGCGGTGGACTTGTTATGCGGCTGGGGTTCACGAAACCAAAGCATTGCTGCCCCTTACAGACTTTGAGCAGGGAAAGGAAGGGGAGGAGGCTACAGGCAGGAAAGTGGAAGGGTCTGGGGGCCCCATAGCCAAATCTTGCAGAAAATGCTAAAACTGGAATAATGTCCCCAACACACACGCACTCATGTACACACACGGTTAATGTAAGAACCCTTTAGAATCAGATATGTCCTAACTCAGACTTTCATTCAGCATGTATAATCAAGCCATTCCAGTGCAATATAATATATGGAGTCATTAAATTACAGGCCACTGTAAGCTTAGCGAGAATTTATTGAGTGCTAATGTAATTCTTTCATCGAAGCAAAGAGAGTGCATTGACTTGTGGAAGGGACTTTTACTTGATTGGATTGTAATCAGTTATGTCTTTGCAATGAAGGTGTGTTTTTTTTAATCCAATTGTAATTTACTGGTCTCTCTGGATCATTGCACTTTGTCATTTTATTAATCATCCCCTTCCAAACTCTGAATCAAATTCTTGCCTGAAGTGGATTTTTAATTGTGCCTGTGTTACTCAGCAGCAAGTTTTGAGTCCACTTTATGGTAAACAAAACACTTCAGTTCTAAATTGGAAGGATGCATGCATCAAGTTCTTCTCCTGCAATAAAATACTTATGTGACAGAGTAGGAAGATACAGAGGGAGGATTATATTTAGACAAATATTATCTGTAAATATTTCCAATACGGCTCATTACCCCAGTGTTGAGCCCAGTATAAATAACAAGATAGAAATTGAGAGACAGATATTTAAAGGACAACCAGAAAGTAATATAACTAATGGCTGAGCTGCAACCAATGTAAATCGTCAGAGCTAAATCATGCTCATTGGACACACACACACACACAAGTGCTCTGATTGACTTTAGGGAGAAAACAGGTGTGAACCACATGAACATAATTAGTCACCAAATGACTGTTCTTTCTCCTGGGTTAGGGATGGTAATTGTAGTTCTCTGTTGGTCTATTAGAAATGAGTTGGTGTGGATTCAGCTGATTGCCTAGTGAACTAGTGTCCACCACAAAAACTGTCTTGGCATTTGGCACTGATTGGTAGTGAAGCTTTATCCTTAGCTGGTCCCTCAAAATCAGGACTGAAACAGGTTGGCAGTAGGGCTCAGTGGCTAGGGCACTGGACTTGGAGTCAGGAGACCAGGGTTCTATTCCTGGCTACCACTGACTTGCTGTGTCACTTGGAGCAAGTCATGTCATTGCCAAGTGCCTCGGTTTCCCCATTTGTAAAATGTAGATAGTAACAATACTTACCTGCCTTTGTAAAGCCCATGGAAATGTATGGGTAAAAAGTGCTAGGTGAAAACCAGGTTGTTGTTACGGGTAGGAAGAAGTGGGAGGGGTTTGCACTGGCTACATCTGCACTATGATGCACACTAGGGGTGTGATTCCCCTCCTTGTGTACGCATACTGAGCTAGCATGAGTATAAATTGTGTGGCTATGGCAGCAGCAGCAGTGGAAGGGTGACTGAGCTGTGACGAATATACCCACCGGTTTCTGTCAGGTTTGTGCTCTGCACAGCTCAGCCACGCCTCTGCTGCCGCTACCCATGGTAGCACTGCTACACGGCTATTTATACTTACGCTAGCTCGGTGAGAGCTAGCATGAGTATGTGCATCACTGCTGGAAGTAGGGGGTGCTGTGGCGCCCCCCGGCTTGAAGTGGCTTCCATCGTATACAGGATTTACAGTTTGGTTCAATGGCTCTTAGCACCCCCACTATACATATTGTTCCAGCATCCCTGAGTATGTGCGCACGAGTAGAGGAATCATACTCCCTAGCACGTAGAGTAGAGTCACCCTTAGGTTATGCCATACCTCTCCTGTGGATAAATATAGGACATCAGTTTCTAGGGATGTCTGTTTGCCTCTTTTGATCAGCACTCATAGGCGCCGACTCTGTGGGAGCTCCGGGGCTAGAGCACCCACAGGGAAAAAAGGGTGGGTGCTGAGCACCCACCGGCAGCCCCCCTATCAGCACCACCCTCCCCCCCCAGCACCTCCCACCCGCTGGTGGCCGTTGAAGATCAGCGCCTTTCCCTCCCTCTCTGCGCCTCCCACCTACCGCAAACAGCTGTTTTGCGGCGTGCAGGAGGCTGTGGGGGGGACGTGAGTGAGGACGTGGCATGTTTGGGGGAGGGGGTGGAACTGGGTGGGAAGGGGTGGGGCCTTGAGAGAAGGGGGTGGAGTGGGGGCAGGGCCTGGGTCAGAGCCGGGGGTCGAGCACCCCCCAGCATTTTGGAAGGTCAGTGCCTGTGTCAGCACTGGATTCATTTTTAAAGGATTCAATTTTAAAAAGCCACAAATTCCTCTGGTCAGTAGCAGAGCAAAAGGTGACACTCTTGTAAGAGAGTGTGAGCCTGCTTCTGCTCCCTTTGGAGCAGAGGCAAAATTCCCTTTGGTTTTGGTGGAAGCACATTTAGACCATTGGTTTGCAAATGCAGGGGAGGGAGGCATATGAGGCCAGACTAGATGACCTCCTGAGGTCCCTTCCAACCCTGATATTCTATGATTTCTTTGTAGCTGATGAACTTACTTTGTGTGTGCAGCAAAATGGAAGCTCCTTGTCTGAACTCAGATTTGCTGTTCTATCTGCAGACTAACCATGTTATACAGAAAGTATGCATTGGAGAGAATAACGTGATTGAAGAGGAGATTCGAGTGAACAGGAGTGTCCATGAATGGGCAGGAGGAGGTGGTGGAGGGGGAGGAGCAACGTATATATTTAAGGTACAGGAACATACCCATTATATCCTATTACATAAAAATGCTACACACTACCTAGACTTTTACGTGAATGCCATCCTTTGTTTAGTAAGTGCCCCCTACAATGTACCCTGGAGCACCAAGAACTCTCTGGGCCTGATTCTCACTTAAACTAAGGACCTTTTAAACTGCTCCCACAGAATAAACAAGCCTTAAAGTGAGCTTAAATATAACTTATATTTACAATTTATGGCTGTGGAGGCACAGAGGTCCTGAGCCCTTATTGAGCTGAATGGCCCTGTTCATACCTCTTCAAGCTTTTGCTAAGGCTGTCTGCTCACTCAGGCAGGGTCACTGCATCAGTTTACATTCTGTTCACATTTTTAAGGTTTATCTTGCAACCACAAGGACTAAAAATATAATTTTTTATTGTGACCTGAGATTCTGGAGCACAGTTCTGTCCAATGGGTACATTCCACGGCAGTTTCTTGAGCTGTGGAATCACAGAATACACAAGGCCCTATAGCCTTTGACTTCTGCTGTGCTATGGCATATGAACAATTGGGATCAGCCTTTATGCTCTGCCGTAGGTGTAGCCTTTCAGCCAAAGACCATTGATCTCCACTGCAGGGCATTTACATTTTATCAAAAGTTGGCTAATCAATCAGCATTCATCCCGACTCCCAGTTTTATGTGTTCTCAATATGCTTCAAATCAATAGACTTGTACCATATCATAGTAACTCTGAACACTCAAGTAGCTCCCAAAGTGATAATCCCCTGCAAAGTGGAGCCACTGTACTGCACTACACAGAGCAGTGTACCTTAGAGCTCTTGTAATTGATATACTACATCATACAGGGTAACATTACATGCTTTACAAGATCCGTGAGCACTGGCGTGCACAATACATATAGCCATCGAAGCTGCTGTTCTCCACTGAACGTGGTATGATTAGTAGTATCCATTAATCTTTGGATGCAGGTACATGAATAAGGCAATTGTAATTTGGACTGCTCAGCAGTCCTAGGGACTTGCTTAGTGCAACATGAAGTAACTAGCGTGTGAGATGAACTTGTATTTGCATGTTGACACAGCGTAAACCCCAGCTTCATTTCTCACTTCACCCTGTTAAGATGGAGAATGGAGAACCAGTCCCCTTGATAATTGCAGCAGGAGGTGGTGGCAGGGCCTACAGGGCCAAAACAGATACTTTTCATCCAGAAAGGCTGGAGAATGATTCATCTGTTCCAGGGCTGAATGGAAATTCAGGAGCTGCAGGTAAGGAACATTTACTCTGTTCAGAAAACCTTTCCCAGACCTGAAGAAGAGCTCTGTGTAAACTCCAAAGCTTGTCTCTCTCACCAACAGAAGTTGGTCCAGTAAAGGATATTACCTCACCCACCTTGTCTCAGCAAATCTTTGAGGGACAAAACATAAGATGCAAAAATGTGAGACTCTCAGAAACCATTGTCACCACAGGGAAGATATCCCTGTAGACATGGAAATCATGTAGTATTTCTACAGCATAGCTTCCCAGGCTAGTGCAGACAGGTTAGCAGTCCCTGCAAAAAGGTCAAGGGCTGAACGAGCCACAGAGGTGGGGACCACCCTCTCGCATCAGGGCAAGTGCATTCTCTATGAGTAGCTTGTGTTTCGGCGGTCTCTGCTTACAGAACCATAAAAACAGAGATGGGCAGGACCTATTGTCATTCAGTCCATCTCCCTACCAAGGCAGGATTGTTCCCTACAGAACATTGTCTAGTTTCGTTCTCGGATTGTACTGTTCTGTGGTTAGTGGACTTCAGTTTTACAGACAATCAGTCTGGCACCTTTCCCAAGCATGAAATTCACTTTAATCTCCGTATTTTTGTTTGTTTTGTTTCCTGAGACTGAAAAGCCTCTTCCATAGCTCTGTAATGTCCAGCGCTTTGGATCTTGAACCTTCAATCCTCATGAACCCTGCAAAAATAAACAAAATCACAATTAACAATATTAAGTGTTTACGGATGTGGCAGTTTGTACAATTTCAAACTAACTCAACCCAATCCTTGTCTGAAAGAGAGAAGTATTAGTATCCCCAATTTACAGATGGGGAATGGAGGCACAGAAATGGGTTTTTTAATGTTCCAAACTGAATGCTATGTAGTGGGGACTGCATAGAGAGCAGAGGGCTGGAAGTCAGGACTCTTAATTTTCTTCTTGACATCCACTTACTTTGTGGCCTTTGGCAAGTCACTTAACCTCTCTAGGCCTCTGTTTGGCCACCTATAAAATGGGGATAATGCTTCTCTACATCCAGGGCTGTTGTGAGCTTTAACTAATTACTGTTTGTTAAGTACATTGAGCTCCTCAAATGAAAGGCACCAGTAGTGCTAGTAAGAATCACTGTAGTATTTTAGGCTCTTAAAGAGTATAAGCACAAACTCTTTGATATCAGAAAATTAGATGGCTCAAGGTAGTAGAAATATTAGTTAGAATTTGGTTTCAAGAAAAATGGTTTGTGTTGGGTGGTCCGTTAATTTAAAAGATAATTAAATATTTGTTTGAAAAACATATTTCAGACCCCAGGCTGGTGACAGAGTAATAGAAAGTTAGTTCCTCCCTCATCCACTCTACTTCCCATAGCTTGAGCTCAGGTTTCTGCGTATAACTTGTCAGTGTGCGGGAAGCCATTCACCCCCACCACTGCACAATCTCAAATTATTCAGGCTTTGTATGGCAAACTAAAGAGTTGTGGTGGTGAAGGTTACTCCAACTTCCCCATTCTCACTGTGTTGCACACTCTGGCCATGTGGAACTTAACAGCAACAGCAAGAATATGCTTAAATCCTCCTGCTCCAAAAAGTGCTAGCAACTACAGTCAAGCTAAAGGAGATTCTGTGTTAGCTGTCACTAATATGAGACCAAAGACACACACTTGAGAATATCTGATTTCATCCTGTAGAGGGCAATAGAGCACATACACAGCAGCCGGTCCATTACAGTTAGAGCTAGTCAAAATGTTTCAATCAAAAAAAGTTGGTGAAGAAAAATTGCATTTTTAATTAATTTATTTGCAGAAAAATGTTTCTTTTAACATTTTCTATGGGTTTTTTAGTGAAAAAAATATTTCAGTATTTTTTGAAAACCAATAACCTTTTGAAAAAGTTTTGGGTTTCGTTTTTCATGAAAAAACTGGAAAATTTCCTCCCCCCTCCCCCCCCCCCCCAAAAATCCTATGTCCTCCTACATCCCCACACACACTCAAATTTTTCATCTCTTTACATTTTTCATGGAAAAATACCATTTTCTGACCAGCTCTCATTACAGTATTACACTTCTTTTATAGATGGATGAAAAGAGGCACAGAGAGTTTGTGGTGGCCACAAGTCATACACAGCCAGTTAGTGGCAGACTGGCAATAGAACCCAGCAGTCCTGACTCCCATCCCATTCTCTAACCACTATATGATGATCTCCCTTGCAGCTGACGTGTTTGGAATGCGCATTCATTCTGCTGATATATATATTTTGGATATAACAGAAACTTACATGGGCTGCTTTCTCTTTTCTTAACTGCAGGTGGTGGAGGTGGCTGGAATGATAACACTTCCTTCCTGTGGTCAGGAAAGTCCTTGCTGGAAGGTGCTACTGGAGGAAAATCCTGCCCCCAGGCCATGAAGAAGTGGGGGTGGGAGACAAGAGGGGGTTTCGGAGGGGGTGGAGGGGGGTGCTCCTCAGGTGGAGGAGGCGGAGGATATATAGGTAAAGTGGCTTCATGTTCAAGGTGTCCCTTCCCCTCCTTTAGTGCTAACAGTCAGCAAAACACTGATCAAAAATTCTCCTATAGCTAGTATATATGATTGTTATGTAATAGGATGTCTGTGTGTCGCCTTTTTAGCTCTGGGTGAACTTATGTTGTTTAGCCTTTAAGCAAATAGCCGGATGTCAGTTCTTCAGCTGGAATCCTGGCTTTGCATTGTGGAAAACTATGCCATCAAGATCCTGCTGTGATTCTTGACTCATAATTATATATTGAGTCTTTCATTTCTTGGCCATGATGCTGAAGAAGCAGGAGCCATAGGCTTTGCATTCCTGTTGTCAAGACCAGCATCTGGGGGCATTTGCCATGGAGTCTGATGGCCAGTGTTTGCACTTAGGGTATGTCTACATTGCAGAGTTAACCCGGGTTTTAGTTTTCACCCCACTTACCATCCATGCAGGGGGGAAAGAAAACACCCTTTATCCGAGTCTGGAGCCCAGGCTAGCTGACCCAGCTGAGGGGTGGTGAGAGCCATGACTCCACTTTAACTCAGGCTGAAACCCACCTACTGTTCAGTGGGGACACAGGCTAAATCATTCGAGTCCTCCAATGCCCTTCCCACCATTCCCTGTGAAGGAGAGACGGATTCTCCCACAACTGGCTGGGAAAGAAATCCTAGAGTGTCTCAGCATGAAAAACCATGGGGAATTCCCCCAGACACACACAGGCAAGTGTGGAAATAGCCAGATATGGCTTTGCTGTGGAGGTGCTCTCACCTGAGCAGGGCTAACCCAGATGCTCAGACCCTGGTGCCAATTACCGGGTTAACGGTGCAGTGTAGACATAGCCTTAAAGGAGATTCAGCATGAGCAGTGGCAATCCAAGCTTCCTCCACACTGCCCCAAGACCAGCATGCCTCAACCCTAGAGGAATCACCTCTAAGGGCAAGGCAGGTATTTTGGTCTCCATAGTCCAATCCTTGGCTCTTGTGCTAAGACTGCCAACAAGGGAGGCCAATTAATGACAGCTATGATGGTGGCTTTCATCAACAAGGAACTGAACGGAGGCCACTAATTCCTTTCCAGTAGGCTCCAGGTCAGCCATTAGATGGTAATGACACTGAATTACTACTGATATGGGCCAGACTGAAAGCCGTCACCATAGGGTGAACAGCTCCACAACTCATAATCAGTCCCTGTGGCCACCCATCTCTTCAGCTGTGGTGGACTTCTTACCCCTGGTTATCCACCACTGTGGCTTGAAATCAGGGCAATCGTAGACTCAAAACACTGCAAGGAAGTAATTAGCCTGAATTCCTAGCTTGACCACATGCATTGTGATGATATTATGTGTAACGATTTTTTCAACAGAATGCCTCATGTAAGATACTTTTGTTTGCAGTATGCTATTTTCTCCCCTGCCAAAGGTGATGAAAGTGGAAAAACAACCCTCTCTTTTGTGGGGGGGGAGGAAGGGCATCTGTGCATGTTAACAGATCAAATATTGGTCTACAGCTCCGCTTCTGAGATCCTCTGCTTGTCCAAGGCACACTTGAACATTTCCCATGCAATCTCCTTCAGTCCCCCATCGCTGTTGGACCACCCTGGCCCAAGGGGTGTAGAGGAGAGAAAGCAGATCAGCTGACTGTTACTCCCAGTGCTGGTGGAGTACGTAGCCTGATCAGCAACTGTGCGGAATTCACCCTTATGCACTGGCATTGACCAGTCTGCTAGCCAAATGACTGCATAGGATGATCTGTTCATATGTTTTTCACAGCATCCGAATGATTAAAGGTGATGTTTGTGCTTAGTGGGCAATGGTCTGCTTGGGACTGAGTTGAGAGATTAATTTGCTTAATTAAGAGCCACAAGCATTATTAAGCCGAAATCCCAGAAGTGAAAGGCCAATAGTCCGTACCACTATCCACTAAACCTTTCCACCATCCATTAAACATCCCAGTTGGATATTTTGACTGATTAATTGCCCTTTCTCATTTGGATGCTTCATACTGTGAATTTGCTTGCATGTTGCAATTCTTAACTGTATTTTAGATCTAATGAACCACAGTACGTTAAGGTACCTTCTGATTTGACATAGGTGGCAATGCTGCAGCGGACAATGACCCAGAGATGGATGGGGAGGATGGTGTGTCCTTTATTAGTCCACTGGGTACTTTATACACCCCCGCACTGAAAGGTATTGATATCGGTCAGAAATCAGTTCTCGTGAGTTTCCTTCATGTTTGGAGTAGGCTGTGTCTGGAAATCTTTGGGATCCTTAGATAGAAAATGTAGATTAGTGTGGTTGTGAACACCAAGGAAGGAGAGAAGTTGTTTAGTATAGTCAGTGAGGAATAAGGAGATGAAAGGGAGCAAAGAAAAAAATTGAGGCTGTTGGGGAAACATTTCCTAACAGTGAGAAGTGGTGAAAGCTTCATTTCTTAAGTCACTTAAAACTGGATTGGACAATGAACCCAAGAAATACTGTAGGGAACAAATTGTTATAATGTGTGTAATAAGACAGCCAGTAGGGGGAGTTGGCAGACTGTTAAACAAGGACATTTGTGGGTGTTCCAGTGTTGTGTTGTATGTTGTTGGCAAGTGTGGATCTGTGGAGCTACTGCCGGGATAGGTGTGTTGCCTGAAATAAAAGATGTTACTCAAAGAAGTTGGAATACGTCTGGTTTACAGCAATCTATGACCACAATCCAGTCCTGGGTGGAGCACGGACTAGATGATTTAGCAGGCCCCTCTCCCCAAGCTGTCAGCCTGTGATTTATATGTTGTGCTTCTGCTAGTGCTGGAAACTGAGAGCGATCTTATGGGAAATGTTTTAGTGCTCAGCTCTTCCCCCATTAAAGCTTCTCCTGGGTCAGACTGACAGAGTTGCTGGAGAGGGCAGTGAGGCATTTCCCCCAGTTCCTACAGGTGGAGTGTGCAACCTTGGCAGCCTTCCCAGTCTGTGCTGGCCCCAAGAGTTGAGGACTTGAACCTGATCTCCCCCAGTGGGTAAGTAGGGGATGCTGTGGATGGTTCAGCCCCAGCACAGACTAGGAAACTCCTGAGGGCTGCCCTAACTTGCATCTCCTCCCCCCACTCCCATAGCCCCAATGGGGCTTGCTGTAGCATGAAGGGCACAGGACTGCTCCTGCAACACTTCCTCCTGGCCTCAGCATGCCCTGGGCCTGCCCCACAATGCCCCTTGTGCTCTGTAGAGGCAATACAAGGCTGGCAGGACGCCTTGCTGCATTGGGGATTTCACTGAAGGGGGTGGGACTGTGTGGCCACTTTGCACCAGCATAGCTGGTTCAACATGGCTACAGTGCAGGTGTCCAAGACAGCTTAGCGGAGGGATTTTTTTTGTAAATGAAAACTATTAGCTGAGATTCCTTCAGTCTCCTCTCCCCTAATACAGGTGCCAGTGAGAAGTGGGGATACAGTCAGCAGAGAGGGGTGAATGGCAGTCAGGAAAGGTTTTCAGACAGGGCCCATCCCACCCGACGTGGGGCACTTGGGCACCATACACGTGTGCATTTCCCATCCCATAATGCGGCAGTTCTCCTGTTGCTGTCTGCGGAAAGCTCTTGGGTTATCTCTACAATAACAACTCAGCCTCTTTCATCTGTTCCCTAGTGACAGAGGGGCACGGAGAGGTGGCTATTAAGCTGCACCTCAACTGCAGCCACTGTGAGCTTGATGAGTGCCGTGTTGATCTGGAGACTCAAAAAGTCATTTGCTTCTGTGAGCCTGGGACAGACCTGGCTGATGATGGTGTCTCTTGTGTAGGTAAGAAGGTGCGGGGAGGAAGGGGCTCCTTTGGGATGGGTAGGTCTATGAGTGAATACATAGTGAAAGCCTCTTTAATGACCTGGACTGCAAGACAGCACAGAAGCACTTAGATAGCCTTTCTTTAAAGTTGACCCTGATTAATTATCCCCTTTGTTGCTGGCATTTGCAGTGAAAACGCAGTGCACTTCAGTGGCGAGGAAGCTGGCACATGGGGCAGCACTGTTAATGTGTTTTGCCTTATATACCTGCATCATTGGGCAGTTAAATGATATTTTGCACTGAAGGGGCAAGATATGTGATCTGTGGGTGTGAGTGCCCCTTAAAGAGCCTTTGGTTACATTGACACTGTATCAGGCACAGATCAAAGAGAGAAGCCCTGATCTGAAATTAACTCGCACTCACTCACCCCAAACAAACAAGGAATTTTCCCAGGGTTGCAATTGGGGGGGGGGGAAGAGTTGCTCTTTTCCCCCACCTGTGCTTAATTTCAAGGTGCTGCCCATGGCCCAGGAGGAAGACAAGTACCTGCAGGGTCCCTCCTGTGGGCTGCACCTGGGGCTGCCCTGGAGAGTAGCTCGGGTTCCAGGCCCAGAGACCTGCTCTGTTCCCTGAAACCTTCAGCAGCTGGAGACCCACAAGCAGCCTGGAGCTTGCTCCTTGACCTACCCATCCCAGCTCCAGGGACCCACCTGTCCTCTGGGCTGAAGCAACTGCAGTTCTGCTCCAACCTCATCTGGTGCCACACACCCTCACTACTGATTGGCCCTAGTGCTCGGGCTAGAAGCTGTGATTGGCAAAGGTGGCCAGAACATGGGCTGCTAGAGGAGCGATGAAGCACCCTTTGCCCAATGGTGCACTGGGGGCTGCCATCTTGTGCTTCAGAGTCTCAGCTTTTTCTAGGAAAAGCACAGTGAGGTCTCTCCCCTTGCAGCTGTGAAGGGAACTGACTGATTTTGGATTTTTACTTCTTATCCTTCAAAAATCCCAAGAACTTCCAGGGGTCTAAGTGGCCCCTGGGCCTCTGCTGAAAGCTGCTCCCTCTCCACTGAAATCTGAAATGGTGCCCCTGAATTTTCCAATCAAACTCAACCCTAAGCTTAGGCTTCCCAAGAGCCAGAGATGACATGTCACAGGCATGAGGCAGAGGGAGGGGTAAACATCATGGGAGGGGGGAAAGCAAGGAGGAGAATCCGAGTCAGTGCTTCATTTGAGAGCTGAATGCAAAACATAGGCAGGCAGAGTGGAGTATATTTGCCCTGCTTACACTCAGAGCTCCAGTACTGGGCTTTCCCCACATTTGTACATTAAGAAGAGGTACTGAGTCCAGCAGGTAGAGTGAGGGACTCTAAGCCAGGCTTCTTGGTCCTATTCCCAGCTCTGCCACTGAGTTGGGAAAATTGTTCAACCTCTTTATGTTGCAGTCTCCCCATCTGTAAAATGGGGATAGTCAGATGTATTTATACGGGTGTGGTGATGGTCATCATTTGCATAGTGATCCCTGATTGGAAACTGCTCCATAAGTATTATTAAATGGTAGATATTGCACGGGGGGTGAGGCGGGAGGAATGTTATAAACCAGCTAACACTGCTTCCATGTAGTAGGGTTTTCCCCAGTAGTCATCTGTTCTTTCTGTGTGGATGCATTTAGCAGATGATATACTGCAATTGCCCTCACCCTATTTTCGCTATGACTTGGCATTGATGGCACCACTCAGCCCCCACTGACAATTTAACTCCCCACCCTCACCCCCGGATCCCTGTTTTTATGACCTTGCTTTCATAGCCAGTGAGTGTGTGTATTAATTTCCTGATAGGAAACCATCTGTTTTTATGGCTCAAACTTAATTGAGGGAAGTGAAACAATGAGCCATTGGAAGTCATAGATCTGGGAGTTGATTGCAGCAGAGGTTATCCTCTGTTTCCTACAGTGCAAGAGTGATAGATGGAGTCAACGGGAGGAGGGATAGAAAAAAATATTACATTAAAAATGACCCGAGGCAGGCCTGCTGATGGGGTGGGGGGATGGGAAGGGGGCAATTGCCCAGGGGCCCAGATGATTTAAAAGGGCCCGGGGGACCCCAGCATCCACCACTGGCGGCAGTGCAGCGCAGCAGAGCTCAGGCAGGCTTCCCACTCGCTCACGCTCCGTGCCACTCCTGGAAGCGGACGGAACGCTCCTACAGCCCTTGGGGGTGCAGGGGGTCTCCGTGCACTGCCCCCATCCTGAGCACCGACTCCACAGCTCCCATTGGCCAGGAACTGTGGCCAATGAGACATGTGGGGGCAGTGCCTGTGGGCAGTGGCACCTGGAGACCCCTTGGGCCCCCCGTCTAGAAGCCACTTCCAGAGGTGTGTGCTGGTTGCTTTCAGGAGCCACCTGAGGTAAGAGCCGACCCTGACCCCCTCCTGCACCCCTGCACCCAAACTTCCTCCCAGAGCCCCTACCCTGCATCCCCTTCTGCACCCAAACTTCCTCCCAGAGCCTGCACCCCACACCTCCTCCCATACCCAAACTGCCTCCCAGAGCCTGCACCCCGCACCCCCTCCCATACCCAAACTCCCTCCCAGAGCTTACACCCGCACCCCCTCCCACACCGCAACCCCCTGCCCCAGCCTGGTGAAAGTGAGTGAGGGTGCAGGAGAGCGAGCGACACAGGGAGGGGTGATAGAGTGAGCGGGGACAGGGCCTCAGAAGGGGCAGGACAGGGGCATGGCCTCAGGGAAGGGGCAGGGCAAGAGTCTGGGTTTGCGCAATTAGATAGTTGGCAACCCTCCTGGGTGGGCATGTGGAAGCCCTGGCCATGCTGGAAGAGCGGACCCAGCGGTGCAGCCGGCAGCACCCCCAGGCACCAGCCAGCACAGGCGCAGCACTGCCAAATGTCAGGCGAACTACGTCCACGGCTTGTGCGTGCGTGGGGGCCCATTGACTGTTCTGCCCTGAGGCCCGGAATTGCTGTCGGCAGGCCTGACCATAGGGAGATCAGTTAAAACAAGTAACTCCCCCTTCCTTATGTATCTCTTTCAGCTGATCCCGTGGCTCATCTCCCCCTCTCCTTGGTCTTGTCTGTAGTGACGTCAGCACTGGTGGCTGCTCTCATTCTGGCTTTTTCCGGGATCATGATAGGTGAGTGTCTCATAAAGCAAAATGTGCAGAGAGCAGCAAAAGTGGCAGCATATTGTGCTTCTCACCTAAGCCATTTCTAGTAGAGCCAAGAACGTTGGCATTAGGACTCAAGCTTTACACCGTGTTGGTTGTTTTTTTTTTTAATGAAAACTCTTCTGTTTTCTTCTTTGATAAATGTTTTAACCAAAACAACCAATTTAGGGACATTTTTTCTTGTGAAGGGAAAGTTGGAAAAAAAATTAGTTTGAGTAATATTTTTACACTTTATATTTCACTAGGCAGCAAATATGGTATAAATGGATATCCAGGTATAATTAAAATACCATCTTTGTCTTCCTTTTCATTACTAGCTAGTTGCAAGGTCCTTCCAGTGACTGATTGCAGCATTGCCGTACTTCTCATGATTACATCCTTAAAGAGAGACCGTTGTGTGGTTTGGGGTGTAAAAATGTCAGACCACAATTTCCAATTTTCACTGATTTTAAAGGGAGCTGTGAGTGCTCACACTTTAAAAAAAATCAGGCCTCTTTTAGTTTAGGGTACCTACAATGTGCATTTAGGTGCTTACATTTAGTTACCCAAGTTTGAAAACCTTGGCTTAGATTCCAATTTTACAAATTATGGTTTAGTAAGACATGGATGTTCATGGCCTTTGTCAGAATTTCAATTACATCTTTTTTAAAATTTTTATTTAAACAATCCCATGCCTACATTCCTACTCTAAACATACCAGGATTATTGCACTAATGCATGAGAACCAGTGATTCAAACTAGCCAGTATCCTTCCATTGTCCACACTGAGGGAAATGCTTTTTAAAAAAACACACACCCAGAAGGTCAGATGGTGACTAGTAAATTAGATTTGTGTAGTTATTTCAGGTGTTGCTATTAATACATACACGTGGTTTCAGATGTACAGTTTCTGTTCTAACAATATCCCCTTAAGGAACTAATTACTTTTCAGGGAATAGAAGAATAACCAAATTCTTTCTGGCCATCCCTATCATTCTCATTTCAGGAATGAGCAGAGATCTGAGCAATCAAACCAAGAGCAATGATAAGGTGAAAGGAGAACTAGGAGGGCTTTATAATAAGTCATTAAATTCAGCCCCCTTTGCTAGTGGAAGTTTTCCCCTTAAACTCTTCCTCTCAGTGACTTATCTATCAGAGCAGACATGGGATCTAGTACAGCCACAGTCTTCGGGCCCAGTCTTGCTCCCATTGAAGTCAGTGGAAAAATTACTGTTGGGCCTGTCCATGACTGGGCCCTACTTTGTAAACTTACATGTGGAATTCGAATTACTTTCACAGTAAGACTATCTTTGGTCTGTGATTTCCTAAGAAATGCCTGTCTTCCATAGGTGTGGAGAGCTAACATAATAACTGAATGAATTGATTCCGAGACTATAAGAACTGATTTCAGCTTTCCCCCAAATTTGAACCATGTCTGAGGTTTAGAAACATTTGATCAAGTGGATGGGTGTCTTTAAAAACTTTACACTTATCCGCTAGACTCCCTTCATGCTTATGGGAATCAAGAGGGAGTTTCATAAAGTGAAGTCATTTTATTTACACAACTTCATTGTGAGGGGAGAGATTTTACTTCTAAAGAGATTTCAGTGTGAACATTGTGATACAACGCAACTAAGTATGGACTTTTATTCAACTTCCTCATAAGCTAGGTGCTTAACCAAAACCCTGCATCCAAACGCCCTTGAACTTCGGGAAAATTGGATCTGGATACTTTGAAGCCCAGACAATTTCTAACAAAACAGATTTGTTACTTCAGAGTTCACTGCTAGTGGATTTCACCCTATTCTTCAAATCAAGAAATACTGGGAGACTCATGAGTGAACTTGTTCTTAGCCTAATTTCTAAATCAAACAAGTTGGATAATTTCAGCCTGAGCTTTGGAGAAGCACCCAGACTTCTGCATATACGTGAAGTACAGATGGTTGACAATGCCCCCGTTTATTTTGTTTCACTGGAGTCTGAACACTATATCAGTTCCACAGCACATATGTTCTGTGTTGGTTGCCTTCATGTTCACAAGGCAGTCTGCCTCCCAGATTCACTGTGCTCTATTTCCAGTGTATCGCCGGAAACACCAGGAGCTGCAAGCCATGCAGTTGGAATTACAGAGCCCCGAGTACAAACTGAGCAGACTGCGCACCTCCACTATTATGACGGACTACAATCCCAACTACTGCTTTGCAGGAAAGACCACCTCCATCAGTGATCTCAAAGAGGTGCCTCGGAAAAATATCTCCCTCATAAGGTAAGCTCATCTGTTTGCCTTCCCCATACTTCACCCCATCCACTCATATACACTCTCTTTTATATATATATATATACACACACACACATGCACACTTGATCTCTCACATTCTCTTTCTTTCCATACATTCACACACCTTGGACACACAAAAGAGCTATGGTGGATAGGGTGGTATTCCATGCTTACCACATGACCATTGTGGGGACTGGACTCCAGCTAGGTGTCCTTAGCCTTTCATAGGCACATTGCATAATGAAAGGTTTCAGAGTAGCAGCCGTGTTAGTCTGTATCCGCAAAAAGAAGAACAGGAGGACTTGTGGCACCTTAGAGACTAACAAATTTATTAGAGCATAAGCTTTCGTGGACTACAGCCCACTGTATGCATCCGAAGAAGTGGGCTGTAGTCCACGAAAGCTTATGCTCTAATAAATTTGTTAGTCTCTAAGGTGCCACAAGTCCTCCTGTTCTTCTTTTTATAGGCACATTGTTCATCTTCTGTCTTGTAGAAAGAACTGAAGAGCTATCACCAGGCAGCCCAGTAGTTCAGACCCCAGACATCTTTCTTTCAGGGTCTCAAACATTTTGTGGAATACCCTTGTGTTTAGACCAAATATTAACTGATGTAATATGGAGAGCATGAGGATTGGAGGAGGTTCATTAGAAGTCTGTGACTGGATTCCTGGCAATGAGAGTGACATCAGCAACTGCAACAACAGCAGTGAGCAATGAGACTCTAGATGCTACCGGACAGTGGGACTTGGACTATAAAAGCCAGAGATGGGGAAATCTATCCATGGCCCTGAGCCACATTAGGATCTGGATCAGAACTTTTAAAAAGATTAGGAGGCCTTGGGTTGGAGATCATCTCTAGGAAAGACCTGCAGAATCATCGAGTCCAGCCCCTCTACTGTTGCAGGATACAGTCCTCCTCCATAGAGGATATGATGTGACACTGATACTACATGATCTTAGACACAAAGCCAAAAGACAGGATTAAGAAGCAGGAGGGTATGGGAGATTCAGGAGCTTGTATTTCCAAAATCCTCCCGGAGATACAACAGAGATGAAGCCCACAACATCCACTACCACCCTCACTGTGTTGTCAGGTACTGCAGGGCTCCTCTGTCATATCTAATACCTCATTGATCAGAAATTAGGACTTCCCAATGCAATGTGTGCTGCCAAATGCCTTTACCACCGAGGGTAAAGGAAACAGCTGGGAATTGATGGGGGAGGAGGGATAGGTTTATGAGCTGTAACAGCTCTGTTTTATATCCCCATTTTACAATGGGTGGGTTAGTGCTGCAGAGAACAATGTTTCAGGCTGACACTTATTGGGACTAATTGATAGCTGCAGTCAAGCCACAGGCAATTTGACTCTGCAGTGTGGGATAGCTGCCAGGACTGAGGCCTGACAGTCAGAGAATGTAACATTCTTTATCCTGGCAAGGAGTAAAGCCACTCTAAATTGAACTGTATCTACAGAACAGGTACAGCATGGACAACAATAGCACAAGCTTCCCCCACCCTCACCCACAAGGCATGTACCTTAACCTTCTCTAGGAGGGACCATGATCTGGGGAGTTCACTCTCTGTGATCTGCTGAGACTGTCCACAGAGGTGCCATTTAGAACTGGAATGAGGCAGCCAGCTCAATGGAACGCAGACCACCCAGCAGCCATTCGATCTGGCCATCAGTCCGGGCCTGGTTCATATGAATGACTCGGCATCTCGCTGCATGAGAGAACCCCTAGAAAGCCCCCTCCGTGTCAGAGTTGAGGAAGAGGAGTATCAGGGGGAGGGCTTGCACTGCCCCTGCCAAAGCTGAACCCCTCAGTGGTTGAAGAGGGGATTCTAGCGCTGTCAATCCAGCAGCTTCCATCTCCGCTACATTCACCACGGTGGTGGTGTGTTGTGTACCTGAGCCCATAATGCCCATGTGATGTGCCGGCTGTTGCACTTAGTGCTTTAACTTTCATTAATTGAAAACCAGAATAAGCAGTGACACAAACTTCTCTAATGAGCACAATGGAGAAAATGCACATTAGTGGGATGTACGATTTATTTATTTGCTTTTTTCTCTATCTTGTTTCATAATTAAACCTCAAACTTCTTCATAATATGTTAACATCTACAGTAAACATTTTAGCACTTACATAGCACACTATACTACACAGCCTCTCGCTTGATGCTTTCTTTAAGTGAGATGTATAATTGTATGAGGAGTTGTTAGCAGATTTAGAGTACGGCTATCAAATGAAAAGTGTATCCATGATAGGCCCATCATTTTTAGCTCACTTTTGAGTTACACAGCAAGTAGACTAAAATTAAACACTGTTCTTGTACTAGCGTAAGAGAACAATGCTGTGTGCTATGTATGACTGTGCCAACACTTTAACTCCAGTACACTGGCTTCATTGGGATAGTTTGTAGTTTCCAAGGCCAGAAGGGACTATTGTGGTCATCTAGTCTGACCTCCTGTATAGTGCAAGCCATAGAACTGCCCCCAAAGTAATTCCTAGAGCAGAGCTATCAGAAAAACATCCCAGCTTGGTTTAAAAATTGTCGGTGATGGAGATGAGCCTTGGTAACTTGTTCCAATGGTTAATTACCCTCACTCTCAAAAATGTACACCTTATTTCCAGACTGAATTTGTTTAGCTTCAACTTCCACCCATTGAATCATGTTATACCTTTCTCTGCTAGACTAAAGAGCCCCAGTATTGAATATTTGTTCCCCATGTAGGTACTTATAGACTGTAATCAAGTCAATCCTTAACTTTCTCTTTGTTTGAGAGAGCTCTCTGAGTCTATCACTAGAAAACCTGTCTTATAACCCTTTAATTAGTCTCGTGGTTCTGCTCTGAATCCTCTCAAATTTATCAACATTCTTCTTGAACTGTGGGCACCAGAACCGGGGACACTATTCCAGCAGCGGTTGCACCAGTCCCAAATACAGAGGTAAAATAACCTCTATACACCTACTTGAGATTTCCCTATTTATGCATCCCAGTATTGTATTAGCTCTTTTGGCCACAGTGTGACACTGGCAGTTTGTGTTCAGCTGATTATCCACCATGACCCCCTAAGTCTTTTTCAGAGTCACTGCTTCCCAGAATAGAGTTCCCCATCCTGTAAATATGGCCTACGTTCTTTGTTCATAGATGTGCACATTTACATACTGTATAGCCATGTTAAAATGCATATTGTTTGCTTGCGCCCAGTTTCCCAACTGATCTGGATTGCTCTGAATCAGTGACCTGTCCTCTTCATCATCTACCACTCCCCCAATTTTTGTGTCATCTGCAAACTTTATCAGTGATGATTTTATTTTTTCTTCCAGGTTCTTGATAAAAATGTTAAATAGCATAGGGCCAAAGACCCAGCCCTGTGGTAGCCCACTGGAAACACACCCATTCAATTATGATGTCCCTTTTACATTTATATTTTGAGACCTGTCAGTTAGCCAGTGTTTAATCCCTTTAATGTATGCCATGTTAATTTTACATCATTCTAATTTTTAATCAAAATGTTGTGCGGTACCAGGTCAAACACTTCACAGAAGTCTAAGTATATTACATCAAAATTATTACCTTTATCAACCAAACTTGTAATCTCATAAAAAAAAAAAGGGGATATCAAGTGAGTTGGACAGGATCTATTTTCCATAAACCAATGTTGATTTGCATTAACGACATTACCCTCCTTTAATTTTTTAATTCTTTATTAATCGAGTCCCACATCAGCCGCTCCAGGATCGATGTCAGGCTGACAGACCTATCCTCTTGGCCCTTTTTAAAAACTGGTGCAACATTAGCTTTCTTCCAGTCTTCCGGAACTTCCCCAGTGCTCCAAGACTTATTGAAAATCAATGTTAATGGTCCAGGAAGTTCTTCAGCTGGCTCTTTTAAAACTCTTGGATGCAGGTTATCCAGAGCTACTGACTTTAAAATATTCAACTTTAGTAGCTTCTGTTCAATGATCTTCTCAGACACTAGTGGAATGGAAAGAGTGTTATCATCACTATATGATGAGACTATATCGTCTGTTTTTCTCCAAATACAGAACAGAAATATTTATTGAACACTTCTGCCTTTTCTGCATTATTATTGGTAATTCTGCCATTTCCATCTAGTAATGGACCAATACCATGGTCAGAATTCTTTTTATTCCTAATATTTTTTTAAAAATCCTTATTGTCCTTAACTCTGCTGGCCACAGATTTCACCTTGTGTCCCTTGGCTTCCCTTATCAATTTTCTGTAATTTCTAACTTCAGATGTATATTCATTACTATCAACTTCCCCCTTGTTCCATTTGTAATGATATATATTATATTTATTTTTTATAGCTACATTCACTTCCTTTCTAAACCAGTTTTTTAACCAGCACAGCTTTCTTCCTCGATTATGGATTTTGGCTGTTTTGGCATCTAGTGTAAGGTGTTCTTTATTATAATTCATGTTTTTCTGTTTAAATTCTTCCTCCCAGCTAGTTTGATTCATCATTCTTTTCAGCTTTGTGAAACTGATCCTATTAAAGCGTATGTGAGCACACACACACACACACACACACACAGATCTAGATGATATATATATATATATATATAATTACTAGTCTGGACTTTATTCTGCTTGTACATTATAAATGTGATCAAGTCATGATCACTTGTACCTAAGCTACCATTAATGTTTAATGTTGTGATCAGTTCTTCTTTATCTGTTAAGACAAGGTCTAATAAAGAATTCCTCCAACATATGTCATTCACATTGAAATCTCCCGTGATCATGTAGCTTTTTTTCCTACACACTACAGATGGGTATATAAGAAGCCCGTCATCTTGTTCCCTAGTGTGATTTGATGCTCAGTAGCAGACACTTACTAGTACCCCATCTTGTGCTTTATCTGTTAGGACATTGATCCATAAGCATTCAAGATCACTTTCCTCCGAGTTATCAGTGACTCAGAAATGGGTTATTATACATTAAGGAGCCACAAGCTGTTACTTGTAAGGGCCACCTCCCCTAGCACTTTTTACATTGTAGGTCAAAGATAGACAAAATCGAGATTGGAAATCAAACCATGCTCCCACAAATGGCTGTGCAGAGTGTTACCAATTGCATGGCCAAGACTGAAGGTTCAGTTCTTCATATTTTACTGTCATAGAAGCTATACCCATGTTCTGTTTCCTGTGATCAGAACATTACAGTGTGCATGCTCTGCATTAAAACCTCCTTATCTTTTCTGGTTTATCCAGGGGTTTGGGCCATGGAGCCTTTGGCGAAGTATATGAAGGTCAGGTGGTGGGGATCCCCAGTGACCCCAGTCCCTTGCAGGTGGCTGTGAAGGTAAGTGACAATATGTGAATAATCACAGTAGTAACACTTTGGGCATCTTTCATCCAGGGGTCTCAAAGCATTATAAAAATATTGATAAATTAAGCCTCACAACCCCTCTGGAAGATAGGTATGAATTGTCCCTGTTTGCAGTTAGGGACACTGAGGCACAAAACAGGTGAGATGATTTCCTTAGGGTCACTTGGGCAGAGTAATACCACCTAGCTTTTACATAGCGCTTTTCATCCATAGATCTCAAAGCCCTTTACAAAGGACAGTAGGTATCACTGTGCCTGTTGTACATGATCTACTGACTCCCTAGTCCAGTGCCCTGTCTTTGCCACGGGCCATGTTGCATCATTCACAATCCCCTGCCCCGACCACTAGCCAGGCTCCCATGGTCTCTTCTGGTGCTGCAGGCATCATGTCCATCAACAAGATTGTTTATTTTCAGAATCTCTGAGAAATTAATCCAGCTGACTCAACCTTATCTAAAAGAGAAATTGCATTACAGAGAACTTTATTTCCAAGCTGTCAGCTTGCATCTATTACCATCCGACCATGTTCTGTGTGATGTCTGACATTGCTGTAAGTGAAACTAACACATAGCTGGTAATGATGAGCTCCAGCCACGGGGATACTAGAGCCCAGTAATCATTCGGCTGTTACAATTTATAAAAAGCCACTAATGAACGGTGGTGACTTGCATCCTCTCGGTTTGGGAAGGCAGCTCATTGTTTCAGTTCTGCAGCATGATGCCCTCTGCTGTGTGTGACCGATGCGCAGCAGTGCTGATCTATGGAGGTGGCATGCACTTCCATGTCTGCTCCATTATAGTGCAGCTCAACAGAAAGGACCATATGCACAACAAGAGACATGTATATCCTTTCTCTCTTCCCTTCTTTCCTTGGGGGTTCATTTACACCTTTGGGGGAACCCTGAGGAGCCCCACTACATCCCCCTCCCTCTACCCTCTGAACTATCCTGATCATCAAGTCCCTGCTTCAGAGCCATCATCTTCTCATGTTGAAACGGCTGAGCAAGCCTCCCCTTCAATCCCAGCCAATACCATGCTTCGCACAACCAAAGGGGTCACTACTGGACGGTAGCATTGGGTTGATATGCCCGTTAATGTGTGCGGGTGTTAGACCATATAAAAGAATCTCTAACTACTCTCTTAGAAACTCTTCCAATGATCAGTGATGACATATCTGCTGAATGAGTATCCCTGCGTGACACGATCTGTAACATTGTTCCGGATTGCATTACGAAATGCCATCATGCAGAGTGGTGTGACAACAATGACCCTGAAATATCAAATGTCCTTGATGTCAAGCGACAAGCGCATGCCATGCTCATAGCTGACCCACTCTCTGAGTCGAAAAAGGCCAGATATGAGGCAGCTTGCGGCACACTCCAGCGCAAACTCCGCCAAATGCAAAATATGTGTTTGACTGTAAAGCAGATGAACTACGCACCCTGGCAGATAAACATGACTCCAAAGGTTTCTGTGAAGCGGTCAAAGCTGTGAACAGTCCTACCCAATCTGCCTTGACGCCACTAACAAGTGCTGATGGTGACTCTCTCATCACAGGTCGCACTGCCATCTACCAACAGTGGCATGAACGATTTAGTGAACTACTTAATCATTTTTCTACTGTGTCTCATGAATTACTGGATAATGTCCACAAATTGTCCACATCTAATGCATTTGCCAGTCCACCCATACGTGCCAAGGCGTTGAAAGCTGTTGAAGTAATGAAAAATAACAAATCTCCTTATCCTAATGCCATTCCAACTGAAGTTTTCAAGCATGGAGGAAATCTTCTCATTGACAGGATTTTTGAATCTTTGTTACATGTCTGGCGTCATATCGCAATAACTGAAAGATGCCAACATCGTCATTGTCTATAAGCATGAAGACTCAAAGAATAACTGTGGTAGCTACTGTGGTATCTCTTTGCTGTCTGTGACCAGCAAGATTCTTGCATGGATCCTCCTGAACTAACGCCTGACCCAATCGTTGACAATGTTCTATCTGAGTTAGTGTGGCTTTTTGTGCTTAAAGGAGCACTGTGGACATGATTTTCCTCATTCAACAATTACAGAAAAAATGTCACAAACAACACCAACCTTTGTACATCGTGTTTCTTGATCTAATTAAGGCATTCAACATGTTCAACTGCACTGCCATCTGGAAATTGCCCGCTAAATTTGGATGTCCAGACAAATTTATTAACATCACTCAGCAATTCCATGAAGGCATGGCTGAAGAAGTTAATATTGATGGTGATGTAACAGATCCATTTCCAATCACAAACAAGGTAAAGCAAGGATGTGTCCTCGTTCCTAGCCTTTTTGGTCTATTCTTTGCTGCGATGTTACAGAAAGTCCTTTGTGGGTCTTGAAATGGCATGTTAATATGCTTCTGCACTGATAAGCTCTTCTATCTTCCCTGTTTACGTGCGAACACCAAGCTGATAGATGCATTGGGCCAGGAACTGCTGTATGCCAATGATTGTGCCTTGATGGCACACTCTGAAGCAACTCTACAAGATCTTACAAACCGCTTTGCTGTGGTGGCTCGTAATTTTGGCCTCACTGTCAGCAAACGAAAAGCAAGGTTATGGACTAGTCAGCTCCTCAACAACCTTACCAAGACCCATCAATGATCTTGAAAGGTGCCACGCTCCAAGCCATCAAACAGTTTACTTATCTCGCTAGCACATTGGACAACGAAGCGACAATTGACCAGAAAGTTGATACATGAATTAAGAAAGTCAATGCTGCATATGATTACCTCCAGCACCAAATCTGGAAGCAACGTGGAATCTGACTACAGACAAAAATCAAAGTCTATAATGCTGTTGTCCTCAAAACTTTGCTCTGTGGGAGCAAAACATGGATCTGTTATAAATGGCACATAAAAATCTAGACAGTTTCCATTTATGACACCGATGATGATTGCTGGGCATCAGATGACAGGACTGGGTTTCTGATATGGAATTCCTGGCAAAAGCTGGTTCGGTTGGTATTGAGCTCATTTCATCTCAAGCACCCACTTAGATGGACTGGCCATGTAATTCGTATGACTGAGACGTTGCATATTCCCAATTAATCTCCAGCAATTGTAAGCATGGAGGACAGATGAAACGCTTCAAAGACCCCCTCAAACAAAATCTGCCCCAAAACGAACATTTCCGACTCAACCTTTTGAGCAACTGGCAGTTGAGCACTTTGCATGGTGCCACAGCCGTAAGGGTGAGTGGCCACAATTTGGAAAAGAATCATGTTGAGTAGCTGGAAGCATAGTGCCAAGCACGAAAACAGCAAGCAGCTCAATCAGCACAACTAGGCAAATGGCTCTGCGGCCAGTCTGGTAAATGTTGTTCTTCCCAAATTGGTCTGAGGAGTCGCGCAAAAACCCGTTAGTACAAACTATGATTGTTGACGTCATCCTTGAAATTGAGGTGACTAGCATCAGATGCAGATTTCCAGTAGAGCAGTAGCTGATTGTAATGGTCGGGAAAGAATCTGTCTATTCATTATATCACACTCAACATGATAGAGTCCCCAATATACAACATTGTGCAGTTCACTGTTTGCATTATGGGGTGTTTCTTCTTCATCTGAAGTATCTGGCTATAGGCCACTGCCAGAAGGAGGGTTCTGGGCTTGATGGACCAATGTTCTGATCTGATGGCAAATCCCCTGGGCCTGCCAACAGGGCTTCACAACCCAGTCTGAAAATGGCATGTTAGTTAGCTTGGTGTGCGAGTTTCTTGTGAAGAGAAGGGGATCGCTGCAGACTGTGTTTGTTCTGGGATTCTACAATCATGAGACTAAAACCTCTCTCTCCCTTCTTGTCCGGTCTTTTCCAGACATTGCCAGAGATGTGTTCAGAGCAAGATGAGCTGGATTTCCTTATGGAAGCTCTTATTATCAGGTGTGTTAATAAAAGGTAACCAAGGGCTTATGTAGGCTATGCATGGCAAAGCACGGGTCCTACAAGATGAAAAGCGCTCTGTGAGATGATGTTGAATACATCATATTGCACTTTTCACCCAAAGATATCAAAGTGCTTGACAATGGCAGGTGGGCACTATTCTCTCTTTTTAAAAAATCAGATGGTGAAACTGAGGTTCAGAAAGGTTGATGCTAATGTTCTTAAAATGGTCCATTGAGTTTAGATGCTTTAAGGTCTGGGTGCCCAACCTGGAACACTGAGGCCCTAGTTTTCAAACATAATTACCTCCCCCATTCACCTGGAGCTCAGCGCATGAGACGATCCAGCCCTGTTTGTCTTAGGTTGGGCATTCAAAGTTAGTGGACAGTTTTGACAATGTTGGCATTAAGTAATTTGCCCTCCCAAGATCACACAGTGCAGGTGGCAGAGTCACAGATCCCAGGCAGCCAATTTTCCATTCCACTAAGAGCTGGAGACACAAATGGGCATTGAAAGCGGTGGCATTAGGACCCAGGGTAATACCCGCTGCATAACTGACTCCAATGTCTGTGTATTGCTGCTGGAGCAACCCTACTCCCAATCCCACGCATAGGGAAGTCAGAGGGGAGGTAGAAGATGTGGGTGAGGAGGGCGCATGTCCAGAGCACAGTGAATTGTGGCTGTTATCTGCTTCCTGGGGCCCATAGGCTGTGCCAGACCCTTAATATAGGGAGTGCAAAGGGAGCAGAAAGCCCCATCCTCCATTCCGGTTCCAAGCACAAAGACAAACTAACAGAGAACTGTGGCCAGTGTCTCCAAAGTAGTAGTGTTGCTAATTAGATCTACCAACCTTAGACTTGGTAGTATCACAGACCATACCTGCATTTGACTGGCTCAGCACCCCTTCAGATGCGTTGTTTCCTCTGGAAAAACAACTTCTCTGTGGTAGGGCAGGTTGACTTTCCACATCAAGGTGCCTTTTGGTTCAAAGCTGCCCTTCAGTTTAGTCTCGCTCTCTCTGCAGCAAGTTCAACCACCAGAACATCGTGCGCTGTATTGGGGTCAGCTTGCAGGCGCTGCCACGCTTCATCCTGCTGGAGCTTATGGCTGGAGGGGACCTGAAATCCTTCCTGAGGGAGACACGGCCTCGACCGGTAAGGTGGGATGGGGGGAATTATCTTTCCCCACTAGCTGTGCAGCCTGTGCCTTACTCTCTTTGCCATTTCTTCCTTGTTTAACCACACTGGTGTTCTTCCTGGCTCAGAGCGCGCCAAGCATTACAAATAGCTAAACTAAAGCACACTCACACCACTGACCGATTAATAATTGGGAATGGCCTCCAGTAATTTTACCCTAATAACATGCTGAATCCACATAATTAGAACCTGTTTATTTTCTGAGAGACCCTGATGCTTTAGAGCAGCAGTTCCCAAACTGTATTTCAGAGACATGTGTAAGGGTGAGGCTGTGGATGTGGTATACCTAGACTTTAGTAAGGCATTTGATACGGTCTCGCATG